AGAATAAGAAACATTTGGTTGTACCAAACAGTACCATCCCAATCCTGAAAGCAATTAATGCCAAAAACAAGGGATCGATCTAGCTAGAATTCCATGCTTCAATTATTTTGTAACGCTCTCTCAACTGAGCTATTTTGGCACGTCTATCGCTACTTGTTTGGGTTTTACCAAAGAGTGCGATCCAATAATTAAAACTATTGACGTCGAAACTACCTATACAAATATTCAGCTAAAATATTTCAAAATTGGGACAATGTGGTACATTTTTATTTGAGATCTTACAAATCAGACAGGGCCGGGCCTGCCTTGCATGCGATGCATGCAAAAAATGAGGGTGCAAGCCTTAGGGGGCGCCAAAACGACTTTGGAAAATTAAATTTATAATATAATATTTATATTTTTTATATAAAATCTAGAATTATTTATTTAAAATCTAGAATACTTAATAAATTATAATAAATAATTTAACTTAACTAGGGATACGAAGACACAAAAAGCATATTTATTTTGCAATGTGATATCAGTAGAAACAATTAATCGATTAATAATTCTGCAAATTAGTAAATAACAGCTCTGTTTATTGCTTAATCTACTTATTCAATTTTTTCTTTGTTTGAAGTTACCGTGGAATCGAAAAAGAAATTATCTAGTGTTCAATTCCATAAGCGCAAACCTGCGAAAGATTAAATTAATTGTTGGGCATTATTGACGAAAAATTGCGAGCTGATTTAGTTGAATCGGAACTTGTTAAAAAATATAAACAAATTATAAAAAATGGGAAGTCAGTGCTTAGAAAATGACTTGTTTATTCCGAGAAATTAAATTGTAACTTTTGCTTTTGTTGCAAATGTTTCGCATCTGTTGAACTTTGAATGTTGAAGACATGCGTGGAACAAATATGAAAAATGGAAGCAAAATTTACTTTGTTACGAAAATCTTAAGGCTTGTTTTATACCTAGTGGTGTCCATACTCTAAATTTAATAATTTATTAACTGTACAGAAATAATACATATCAAATATAATAATTTTTTTTTAATATTGTTCAAGAAATGTGTAATTTCTTTGCATTTTTTACTGATTTTTGAACAATACTTCTAAAATACGTTAAAAATTTAACTTTAAAACAACAAGCTGATACTCTGAATATGACGGCTCTTACGATATCAATAAGGAGAAGTTTACGACGCAATTTGGGATATTGTAAATGATGAAAAATTAAATTAAATTAAAATTTAAAAAATCCAACATGAAATACGAGTGTTATGTTTGAAAATTAAATGCTAGTTTTTTTAAATATTAATATTGCATTAACGTTAAAAATAATTGAAAATTTCAAAATACTTGATTATAATCACCCCCGAATCGTCTCGATTTTCTAAATAAATTTAAAATCAATATATTTTATACGCTTTTAGATTATATATAATTTTTTGTGCACTAAATCCAGAATAATTAAAAATTAATTTATTTATTTCACTTAATATTTTTGTTAAATTAATGTTATAGAATTTAAGAAATGCATTTCGGAAATAGTATTTATTATTTTGATATCAAGAACTTTTTATATCTTTAGAAAAAAGTTGCATGCGGGCGCTAAGGACCCCAGAATCGGCCCTGAAATCAGGTCTTTATATTTTTGAGCATTCTTTCAGTTAGATGTTGCTAGGGGCAGTAATCAACACAATATTTTCATTAGATTATTGATATAATGATATAATTCATGAAAAATAAAGTCAAAGCAGAGGTGTATATAACATACAAGACTTTTAATTTTATACAAGAACACTTAATATATCGTTAACATTTACATATCCGAAACATTAATTAATTCGGATAGAATCGACAAAAAGTAGTTAGATTGGAGTATTTAATGAGCTGTTATATATTGTCAAAAATCCCCAGTTTCAGACTCGGTTTAAAAACAATTCGCTGCCGATCACATCATATGATGATGTCTGCTATATATACATGCACAAACGTATATCCGCGTATAAAATTGAGATAAAATTAACAATATTATAAAACATTTTCTAACGTTTGGGAATACTAGTTTACTTTTTTTTGAGGCACCTATGAAATATCGTAGTCAAAGTAAACATATCGTGCAATTTACTAAAAGCCAAAACGGAAATGAAATCTCTTATAAGCAGGACAAGATGAATTGCGATATTATAATTATTATATTTGAACACTGTCATTAATTTAAACATTATATAATTTTATTGGAAAAAAATTGATTTCTATTATTTTAATTTTGGTGCATCTTTATAGGGTTTATACTTTGTATATACTACGTAATAGAATTGTTTTTACAGTTGAAATAGTGCATAATCTGAATGTTTGAACATTTTGATAGATTTTATAAGCAATTGCATTTGTAAATCATTTTATTAAAACGACCAGGATTGAAACAAATAGTAAATAACATTTAAACTATAAAAACAAATACAAAAAGCTATTTAGGTTCTTGATGTCACTACAAAATTCAACCTTTAGCCCAACAGCTAATCCCAGAGTTAAATTCATTTGCAAATCATAAATTTCTTGTATAATGGTACGAAAAAATGAATTTTTTTTCAATGTTCAAAATTCAATAAAAAAGCATAATATTGCATTATAAAGCAACTGCAATCTAATTGTGCATGATTATTTTATAGTAATTTTTAACTTTCCCTCGTAATATCTGATAATTTGTTATGCATATGCCAAATGATTATTTTTGACCGCCATTTGACATTTTTTTTTAACTTTTTTTTCTGGATCTCCAAAACCACAAGACCTGTTTTAACCAATTCTACATTTTGTTCTCTCAAAAACTGAATTGCCATTTGTTGCACATTTTGCCTCGTATCTTCGAAACGGCTAAACCTGTCATTGCCAAAAACTAATCAGCACGTCTCCCTGTCAATAGAAATCGAATTTTTTTTTGAATAATTTAAATCGGTTGATCCGTGCTCTCAAAATTGTCGACACAAATTTGTATCCGTATATGCATACACTTACACCATCATCAATTTTTTTGAAGGCATGTCAAAATGTTCAGAAACCTCATTTCATTTTTTTGCGATTTCTATAACTTACCCTACGGGATGTGAATAAAACTAGTGGGGTGGGTGGCATCGTGCCTTAAGGCAAATTGCTGGAACTTCCCGTACCGTAACGAAATGTTCGAGGAATATTGAATGTTTTCAAATAGATTATTATAAATACTGTAATATTGTCTAATATTTATAAGAATTGCAGAGTTGAAATTATTTGTTTAAAGTATATTAGAACTATAGTCAGAATTAAAAATAAAATCTGAATTATTTTCGATATGCAAAAAATTAAAAAAAAAAAATTGGAACAAAATTTTTTTTTTCAAAATCAATTATTTTGTTAAGACAAGCAGAAAGTTCTTTGAATCAATTGAATCGGACGCTTAGTTCTCTCAAAAACTGCCATTTTTTGTACATTTAGCTCTGTATCTCCGAAATGGCTGGGCCTGCCTTTGCGAAAAACTAATAACCCCTTCTCCCAATCATTACTAATTGAATGTTTTTTAGCTCATTCAAGTCGGATGCTCCGTTCTCTCAAAAACTCGATTTCTATTTTCTGCACTCTTTGCTCCTTATCTTCGTAACTGCTGGACCTGCCTTTGCCAAAAACTAATAACCCCTTCTCCCAATCATTACTAATCTCCTTATCAATAGGAATCGAATGTTTTTTAAACCATTCAAATCGGTTGATCCGTACGCCCGAAAACGTGGGCGAAAATTTGTATCCATACATACATACACACACACGCACACACACATACATTTTTTCTGAAGTATGCCAAAATGTTCAGAAACTTTCAAAACGTCGAGAAATGTAAAAATTTTCAATTCCGATTTTCGGCCCATTACAATAACTTACCCTACCGGAAGTTAATAACGCTCAAAGACGTAGCAGAAACTTTGATCCAAAAATACATACATACTTGTACACCGAAACAAAAACATATCCATTTTCCCACACGCTTACCAAAATAACTAGCAATGACGCATGAGTTTTTATTGAAGTAAAACTCTTTAGGCGCGACTAGGGTGTAAATCTGTACAAATGCAACGGAAGACCGTTACGCTCAAGTCGAGCCAATGATTAGTCATTCGCTCTCGATGAGATCATTTCTGTACGAGTCGATTATGATTGGTCATTGTGTCGCGTGAGTGTGATTGCTTTGATTATATAGTGAACATAATAAAACAAATAAAAAATCTGTGCCGTATAAGAAACGTAAGTTTATTGACATAATTTGTATTATTCGTGGTTACTAAATATTTTTTTTAACTACATTATAGTTTTATATGCAAGACACAAACTACAGCTGTTCAAAGAATAGTACTGTATGACTAGCGAAATGAATGAGTCAATGAAACAGTCAATGAATGTATGTTAATTTTAATTACATCGCAAGTGAAACAACCGTTGTCGTTCAAATGTCAAAGCTTACAATTTTATTTTACTGATTCTGAACATAAAGTATTTCAAAGTTGCATATGTTTATAAATAATTATAAATGATGAAGAATAAATTGATATTAAGATTTACTTCATTTCTCTAATGCAATTTATTTAAGATTCAAGTTCTAAATGCTAATTAAAATGACAAACCAATCATGTCGTTTTTAAAGTATGACTTTAATTACATTATTGTTTTCAAATGTAAATATAAATATTTTAAATGCTATTATAAATACATGATTTATAATTTTTACTATATAAATATGTATAATGGTTGACATTAAAAAATGTGTGCATCCTCGTGCACCATATTACAAAGAAAAACTATTCGAAGTTGTTGTACGAATACGATAGCAAAAAAGTTTTACTTCAATCACGTATGAACCTTACGCGCACTCTTTTTTCAAATATTTGCTATAGTTAACATATATTAAGATAGTATGCAAGTAAATACAATGTTAGTTTATATAGATAATAAGAGTAATATAATAATAGATAAGTATTAAGTTATTTACCAGCGTAATGTTTGAATGTGGCGATCAGCAATGTTATCCAAATGTAATTCATTCTTCATAGCACAGTTCAAATAAAAATGTTCGATTCGATATCCAGCACCAGACACTTTTTTGTAAAAAAGATCACATTTTATAGTTATACAGTTATATATATATATATATATATATATATATATATATATATATACGTGTGTGTGTAAAATATTTAAAGCCGTTATAATAATCAAAGAATTTGTGAAAACCTTTACCATATGTTTCGAATATAATTTGATAACTACAGTTACAGAAAATAAATACTGATATGACTAAATACATAACTTTTTTAGTTTTAAATTACTAATGAAGTCTACTGAAGATGACAATCAAAACGTACGGCAATTTATAATTTTTGATCAGATATGAAGCTATTTGTTTTTCTGTTTAATTAAAATTTTTGTTCCAATGAAACTGATAAAACAAATGGCATTAAATTGCCACTTTCGACATATATTTTATGTCACCTTGGGTGAACTATAATTTAAACAAAAAAACGAAAAAATATGGCTCCTTTTTTCTGTTTATTGTTGCACTGTGCAGATTGCATAAAATCATATGTCGAATAAGTCATTCTGAATCGCATAAGACCAGAATTGTGTTTGTTAACATTTTCTCAAAAACGGCGTGACCAATCTTTATTAAAAACTGATTATAGCGCGATCGCCAACTGCAGTTGAAACGTAAAGATATATGAAAATTTTCATTTTCGATTTATCAAAAAATTTTATCGAAAATTTAGATATCATGATATCTTGCAAACGGTTTTTAATTTCCCGTAGGGCAAGTTATAGTAATCGCAAAAAAAAATCGAAAATGAAAATTTTTATATATCTTTACGTTTCAGAGGTTTCTGAATATTTTGGCATACCTTAGAAAAGATGGATGTATGTGTGTGTGTATATCGCATTGATAAAAAAAGTAAAAAAAATGCCATCTGGCGGTCAAAAATGATAATTGGACATATGCACATCAAATTATCAGATATTTTATAGAGATTTTACCAATAAGTATAAATTTTGTTTACATTCCTATGGGTTCCGTACCAATGTTTATCCGTTAGACGCCAGCGCGGCGCTTACGCGCTTCGATGTTTTGTCTCTATGCAGTTAAAGCACGATTGCTTTGAAAAAAGTTCACAATTTCCAAAATATTTCAAAATAAATTTTTCTTCAGTTTTTTTTTAAAGTAATTTATAGTTTCTCAAAAATTTTTTTTTTTTCAGAGTAATTTTTTTTTCAAAAATGTTAATCTTTTTTTTAAAAAAAAATTTTTTTTGGTACAGGAAGTTCCAGCAATTTGCCTTAAGTCACAATGCCATGCGCCCCACTAGTTAATTTTTCAAAATTGGTTCAGAATTTTTTGAGAAAACGTGAACAAATGATTTTGCACTTTTGTACTAAATATATAAAAACGGCTTGGCCCTTGCAAAACATAAACGATACGAGTCCAAATCGAAATTTAACGAATGGGTTTTATATTTTTAAAATTGATTGAGGACATTGACGAAAGATCAAATTTTGGCTAACATACATAGTAGATACTCAAACACATACATACACTCACACATATTTTTTTTAATTTTAGCGCCAAACAGTTCAGAATGACTTGAAATGTCGAGAAAATATGAAATTAGAAAAATCGGATTTTCTGGCGATAGCAGACTTTTTTGGTAAGTTTATAAATATATTTATGATACGCATATATATATATATATATATATATATATATATAATAATAATATAATATAATATAATATATATATATATATATATATATATATATATTAGGGTGGTCCTTAAAAGGGTCATTTTCGAATTTCCTTGCTCCCAGGGGCTCAAATGGTTCCAAATAGATAAAAAACAATTCTCTGAAAGTTTTAGCTCTTAATATTAACGTTTAGATAGAGCGCAATTCAATCAAAGTTTGTATGGGAAGAGCATGAAAAAAATTTTGAAAATTAAAAAAAAATGTTTTAGGTATAACTTAGCGAAAAATAAATGAGTTTTATTCATTTATTTGTTCGCTAAATTACATCTAAAAAACATTTTTAAAATTTTTGAAAATTTTTCCATTCTATTTCTATACAAAACTTTGATTGAATTGCGCTCTATCTAAATGTTAATATTAAGAGCTAAAATTCTCAGAGAATTGTTTTTTATCTATTTGGAACCATTTGAGCCCCTGGGAGCAAGGAAATTCGAAAATGACCCTTTTAAGGACCACCCTAATATATATATATTATGCATCCATCCAGACATTAAAAATAGAAATAAAACTAAATTAAATTTCTTGAAATATTTTTTGTCTTTTGAGTCTAAATAATTTGTGTCCTAGATTTTCTATACTTTATTAAATTAATTTTTATACTATTTAATATTTATGTTGCCACCTCTACATAATACGAATAGTTTTTTGGTTTTTGTGCTTACACTAATTTTACCTCGCACTTTATTTTTTTACTTTATATAATTTTTGTACTGTAGTTTATGATAAATGTAATATATGTTTGTATTATTTCTCAGCTCATTTTTGTATATTTGTCCACTGAAGAAGAGTTAAATTACGACTCGAAACGTAAGAATGTCTATTCTAATTATTTTAGAAACGTAATCTGTGGGCCAATTCTGCCGGGAAATAGATCAATATTATACCAAGGCTTTGTTGCGCTGCGTTTTCCATATAAAATGGTACTAAAAACTGTCAAAATATTATGTAGAAGTAAAACGCCTGTTTGCCCAGCAAATACATAGCATTTGGACAGCTTTTAGTACCATTTTATATGAAAAACGCAGCGTATTATACCCTTGGGATAAGATTACTGTAGAATTGGCCGGTTAGTTTTCTATCTATTTTGAAGTCTGGGTGGATACTTGTTCAAAAAGTATTTTGTTTAATCGACAGAGTTATCACCAACTAAAAAAATTCTTATACACACACACACATATATATATATATTTTGTAGAGTTTCGAACAAGAATCCAAAAATAATACAAAATAAAAAACAAGAAAAGTTTTTAAAAAAACAATTTCTTTATTTAATTATTTGTTTATTGTCGACGTTTCGGAACTAGGTACGTTCCATCTTCAGGACATCTGTCAAGAAACATGATCTTGATGAAGATTTTAGCAAACAATATGTTTAGGAAAAGAAAATAGATTTTTCTTAAATAATGAATTAAATTGTAAAAAATATAATAATGTACAGAAATATGATAATATGTTCAAAATAAAAATGATAAAAATAAATGAGTGGATTATTATGATAATCATAATATGATATTATGATAAATTTCTTGTTTTTTATTTTGTATTATTTTTGGATTCTTGTTCGAAACTCTACAAAATATACACAAATCCAAGACTCTACCATTCATATATATATATATATATATATATATATATATATATTCAATATTTACATATAATATTTATATATGCAAGTATATTTATATATGTATACACATAAACGCGCATCATAAGCAACACATACACAAGTACACACTAATATATTTATTTATTTATTTTAACAATATCGAATAAACCACACATAATATCAAGTTCTATTTATCCAAATGCATTTGTCGTTAGAAGTTCAAGTAATCCGATCACAAATTTCTAAGAGAACCACGTCGAACTTGTTCGCGCATCACGACGGAACTGACACTGACCCCGTCGGACAACAAATCTGTGGCCTTCTTTCGTATAAACAAAAAATAATAAGACGTTATCGCACCGATTGCGCGTTCTCCTCTAAATGTAGGAACGAGAATAGTAAACTCTAATAGAATACAAAAGATAAAATAGAATTATATTATATAATATATATATACTAGCTGACCCGACAGACGTTGTTCTGTACCTACGTCTAAAATTTTTCAATATTTTATACTAATATTTACTGCTTAGTTAAAAATGATAATTACTGTTTTTTGAACTACTATTTACACCAATATATGAGTGATGTTGAATGTAGAACTGTTTCAAATAAAATGATTGTTCTCAATTCCCACAGTTAACACTTTAGTTATTCATTTAACAAATATTAAAAAATGTTCAATAAAATTGTATATTAAAAATTATACACTGCAATTTATAGAATAAATATATTCCCAATAGCTCAATTTATTTTATTGCATTTAAGGGTTATATAGTATTTTTAGTCATACCTGTAGATGTGGATGTATAAATGAATGATTTTTTGTTTATTCACGACTAAAACATTGATTTTCCAAATTTATACACTAAAAATGATCGTCTGCCTTTGTGATTTATGGTCATAGCATAAGATACACGTGTTGAAAATTGAAATCTTTTAAAAAGTACAACAAATTCAGAAAGAATTAATATATAGCATTCGCGGCAAAGGTGCAATATCACCTTTTATTTTTCTACCCAAAATAATTGCTATAATAATGTTGCCTATAATTTTTATAATTTCGTACCATATTTTAACTTTTAGTAATTTTACATTTTTTTCTCCAATAAATCAATATACATTATTGCTTAAGTTTATATTTGAAGTGATTTAATTTGTCAAATCCTGTTCACATGTGCTCTATTCAACTTACGATCAACAAAATTATTGCTCTGTGAATTTTTTTACTGTGCTCCAATTTACTTGATATTTTAGAAATAGGCTAATCTTTATCTTAAGTTCAATGTTTTTAACAATTTGCACTCCGTCACCATCCACAGCATTAATTGGATTATTACTCTTTTAATTCTGATTTCATCAGAACTTGTAATGCACTATTTTAAATGTGATTAAATGAGCTACAACTTTCTCTATCATTAATTTTACCGTAACTTTTCTTATTGTGAAACGGAGAAGGGTTAAAGGGCTCGAAAGACCTCTGGTTGGACAGCCGCCCACTCCTTAATTAATCATACATCTATCAATATTTGTGTAACGGAAAAATAATAAACTACAACAATTAGTCAGAAAAATACCTCGAATTTTTATATATATATACATTTATACGTATTCTTTCAGAGGTATTATGATGAGAAATTGGTTGTTTTTTTTAAATGTTTTTTTTTTCATGAAATCATGAGTTTTTTGAGAATCATTTGTACTAAAGTTGTGGTATTTTCTAGAATCCATCAAGATCTCTTTAACCAAGTTAATTCTAGATGGAATACGATTATTTTTAATTTTGGTGGATATGGCACTCAAACTATTTGATTTAAATGAAAAAAAAAACATTGTATGCGTCCTTTATCTGCATGATAGCTCACTCATTTTACACGCAGAAGTACTCATTTTAAAGCTTATTTTGAGCACTATAAAAACCCATTTTCATATCTAACCTAATAATGTTCCTAAAACACTATAAAATAGCGATTTATTAAGATTTTAATTGATATAATTCTGTTCATTGCATGATTTTCGTTAAAATGTATATTTTTGAAGATATTAGCAAAAAATGATGAAAAACGCAAAAAAGAAACAAATATTCAGTAGCCAGTAACTTGAAAAGTATTTGCTTTTTTGAAAAACATTATTAAATATTTTTCTCTTATAATTAGTTCTTTTATCGATACCCAACGTTATATGTCATCCACCCGAAAAGTGGTAAAGGAGTCTAAATTGTTTTACTTCTGAAGAGTAAGTTGAACCTAGTTCCAAAATTCCAAACGAATTGGAAAACAGTAAAAAAAGTTCAGACCGAAAGAGCTCCATTGAGTAAATATTCCGTACCCAATGACAAACATATGAATTTTTGACACAATGAAACTTCTAAATAATTTTTTTTGTATTGTGACTTAGTATAGTAAGGCAAATTGAATATTTTTGAGCGCAATCACTTATGGCTCGTCTCCTTTGCACGAATTCGTACGGCGAATCTGCTCGCAAAGTGCGCAAACAAAATTATTGCAAGCAAAAGCAAACCACGCGTACGTTGAGAACACGATTCGCCGTGCGCGTCAGACGCATGCGCAGACTGTCAGACGCATGTTATATTATTTGCATCTTATATTAATTTAATTTTTGGCACATCTCAGCTGCTTTTTGGCATTAATAATGTAGACATTACATTTTCCTTATTCATAATCATGAATTTATTATATTTTAATATTGCCTTAGCCTATAAGTGAATAGAAATGTTTGGCAAATGACAGTCTTCAATTGTTTTTAATGTCAAACTAAGCTTCAAATATTTTCAAGGTCAAACAATGATAAGCGGTTTTTTGTATTTTTTTCCATTTATTTCTACAATCTAACTATATTTCTATGAATCAAAACATTCTAGAAGATTCATAAAAATCCGAATTATAGTTTAGGAGGATTAATGAAACTTACATTGTTACAGAAGAATTTTATATATAAGATATATATATATATATATATATATAATATATAAATTAATAATAAACTAGTGGGGCGCATGGCATCGTGCCATAAGGCAAATTGCTGGAACTTCCTGCACCATAAACATTCGAGGAATAAAAATAATTAATGATTGTTTTGAATAATTTCTAATAGATTATTTATTACATACTGTAAACTTATAAGCTTAAAAGCTTTTTAAATTGGGCGACGAGTGTATTTTATAAACTATTTATGTGAACGTTTTCAAGAGTCCATTTTTTTAATTTGTTTTTTGATAATTTAGAAATTTGTCTAAAGTTTTTTTAGAAGTTTAAAATTTTTGGGAATTTAAAAAAACGTATTTTCTAAATTTGGGAATTTTGAAAATATTCGATTTTTTTTTTAATTCTCGAAATATTCTCAAATTTTTGTAAAAAATCTTTTATTTAATTTTTCAAAATTTAGTTTTTTTTGAAAATGATGAAAATTAACTAAAAGTTAAATTTTTTGAAACTTCGATTTTTTTTGGAAAATTTTGATTTTTTTTTTAATTTTCTAAATTACTAAATTTTCTGTAAATGCATTTTTTGCACACCGTCTACTCAAGTAAAATGTTTTTTGAATTAATCTAATCGGATGATCCTCAAAAACTGTATAACAGTTTTCACAGCCTTCGCGCTCCATACCTCTGAAACGGCAAAATTGCCCTTTGCAAAAACGCCTCGCGATTGAGTACGATCCGAATGATTTTATAATCATCAAATCAGTTATTCTATACTGTCGAAAATGTCGAGGACATTAGTTTAAACCCATTTATATCGTTCACAATATCTTCAATATATCTACCCAAACTTGAAAATTAAAAATCTTGGTACGGAACTCAAAAAAAAATCCACAAAATGTGTACACAATTTTAAAATCTCGATGAAATATCAGATAATTTTATGTACATATGTCAAATAAACATTTTTGACCGCCAAATGGCATTTTTAAACTTATTTTGATTGAAAGTTTATAACCGCTGGACCTGCCTTCCCAAAAATTGAATCAATTCTTCATCTTTTCAATACAAGTAAAATGTTTTTTGAAATATTTAATTCGGGTGCTTCGTTCTCTTAAAAAATGAGTTATCATTTTTGGCACTTTTTGCCTCGTATCTTCGAAACGGCTAGACCTGCCTTCGCCAAAAAATAATCAGGACGTCTCCTCATCAATACGAATCGAATGTTTTTGGAATTATTCAAATCGGTTGATCAGTGTTCCCGAAATCGTCGACAAATATTTGTATCCGCACACACACATACATCAATTTTTTCTAAGGTATGCCAAAATTCAAAATATTCAGAAACCTTTGAAACGTAAAGATTTATAAAAAAAATTATTTTTGATTTTTTTGCGATTACTATAACTTGCCCTACGGAAAGTTAATAGTAGTAATAATAATAAATGGTTGTCTGCCCAAAGGCAGGTCGATGGTGTGAGAATCACCACAAATAAATGATTCTCTTGGTCTTGCTCTTCGTCGTCTATCATCTCCATTACCACTATTTCTCTCCCCCCTTTTTTTAAACATTTTTTCATGTATTTTTTTTTCCAAAATTTTTCTTCTATGCTTCCTGATTCTGCGCTTCGGCTTTCAATTCCTGTGTTTCTCTTCTCGCGTAAGTTGTCAATCATCTGCACTCTTCTTCCCATCCCTTTTTTTTTTTCTATTTTCTATTTCTTTACCTTTGACGACGTTGTGTAGTAGGCGCTCTTTTTGTAGAATGGGTCCGATCCAGATTTCCTTTCTTTTCAGGATTGTGCTCAGTAGAGTCTTTTATTTGCCCACTCTTCTCAGATGTCACTTCTTCATGTGTTATCCTGTCTGTCATTTTTATCTTCTCCATTCACCTCCTGCACCATATTTCAAAACTCTCCAGGTAGTTCTTGTCGGCCTTTTTTAGAGTCCATGTCTCTGATCTTTACAGAGCTTTACTCCAGACATAGCACTCTATTATCACTTCTGCAATTCGAGATATGTATATATATATATATATATATATATATATATATATATATATATATATACGGAATGATTCGGTTTGAGTCGTATGAAGTCGATTGAAGTCATATCGCTCGAACCGCTTGAAGTCGGGTGATATAGTTAGTTGATGAATGCGGTTAAAGCATATAAAGTCGATTGAAGTCGGGTGATACATTTAAGCGTATTAAAGTCGGGTGGCTCGCATGATTTAATTCATGATTTATTTCATATATTTATATTAT